TCCCAGGACGCTGGGATCATGACCTGAGCCGAAGGCAGCTGCTTAACCAACTGAGCCACCCAGGTGTCCCTTTTTTTTTTTTTTTTTTTTACAAAAACTGTCAGCTCCACATTAAGAAACTAGGATATCGTTATCACTTCTCTTGGGACTTATTAAAACAAAAGAAATTGGAAAATGGAGCAACTTCTACGTGCATTCTACATTTATGGATGAACACATTTTAAGGAATTCACTGGGAAAAAGGAAACATTCTAAAGCATTCTGTTTACTTTTCTTTTGAATGACAATTTTTATTTGGGGTGCCCTCCGTAGCTATCAAATAGACAGTAGGATCTATGGCCATATTTGTGGCCGGAAGGCAGCCATCTAAACCCTGCAAATGTAATAGCAATACAGGGATTCTGGTTCTCACTGAAACTACAAAAATGACAGGTCTCTCTCAAGGCAAGTACCAAATGCTTTCAATCATGCTAGACAAAGGCCACGCAGCATGCATGAAAATCATGGAGGATACATGGATCTCAAACCTCTCTCCTTAGCTCTTTGAAAGTCATTACAACCAAAGTAGATGTTGTTTTCACCAAACCCATTTAAATCATGATTTAAATTACCAAATAAGAGAACCCAATTTAATTAGTTTTATTTTTTAAAAAGTATATTTTTGTCCTTGTGACATAATCTGATTACATATTCTAAAATTCAGTTGAGTATGGGTTTTACTTTTAGAAGATACACTGTATATATTTAAATTAGTGATTTATGTAAACCACACTCAGAAGTGTATCCCTTAATAATTCAAGAAGATTCTGTGAAAAGACCAAAACAAAGCAGTATTAATGTTTCCCTTCTGCTCTTACTGCTCCTCCCTCTTTTATCCTTAGACTTTCTTTGCTTGCACGATTACTTAATTCTTAAGGATTATCTATTCATTTGTCTGCTTGAAACTTTGTACTTTTGAAGAGGAAGCCAAGGAGTGATTGTCTTATTGCCATATAATGCTATTAATTAGCATGGTTTCCACAGATAAAACCTATAGATGGAAAAAAGAAACATGATTGCTGGAGTACACAGTAAGATTTTTTTACCTTGCCCCTTACTTAAGGTGGCTCTCATGGACTCTCATTATCCGCTATTTTGGTCATGTGCCATTCTCTCACACCTGTAGTCAACATTTTAAGAGGGCATTCTAGAAGTCAGGTCCTAGGCTTAGCACATGAAAGGAGTCAGATCTGACAAAGCTTACAGTTCAAGAGGGAACAGATACTAGATGGCCACTGCACAAATGACTATACAACAATGGTAGCTTTGAAGAAGGGCATGGTGGCACAGTAACCCTGTGGATTGTGAGGGAGTCTCAGCGAAGACCTCTCTAGAAAGTAACATTGCTTTTTTATCACTCATAAAACTTTTTAGAAAGAAATCACACAAATATATTATCCCAAGTATTGTATCAATTTTAAGGTAGGGTATGGCATGAGAAAGAGAAGGCTCTAGACCCAGATATAATTAGAATCCTTGCTGTTACTGTGGTGCCTCAAGCAACTCATGGTAAGGGACATGGTTCCCTCACAAGATTGTTGCAATGGTCAAGTGTGACACAGAGAAAGCACTCAATATGTAGTATAAGCTCAATAAACTATAGATAATAATAATTACAGCATTTAGTTGACTTATCTTTGAGCTTTCACATGTCGAGATAAGGCTAATTTTCCATTCATAGTTCTATCTTTACAAAAATGTTCAACTGAACGAGAAAACTCAAAAAGCCATTTAGAAAAAAACACACCATGACTTCTGTGATTTTTCTTCCCTTGGGTTGGCCAGCAGGTATCATTTAATTATACAATGGAGGCACACTCTATTCTAGATTCTTCCTGGCAGATATAGAAATACAGGCGAAAAGAACAATTTATACATCTGCGCTCAACAGCTTTCTATCAGCATTAGAAAAAAAATCTGGAATTGGAGCTTTTGAATTAGAACTTTTAAAATAGTGAACTCCCCTAGGGCAGTTAAGTATTTTCCAGGTCATTAACTATGGGACCAAGAAGGTGCAGCAGGCCAGAGTCCTTTGCAGGCAGCTCAAATTCATGCAGCCCAAGAAGCATTTCCCACCACACTTTTAGCATCTCTTATTCTGAATTCCCCTCAGTACTTAAACAAACACCCAACCCACAGGACAGGGTCGGTCACAATTCCCTCATTAGACACTCCCTCCGCCAGTGCTGTACATGAGGGAACAGACAATAGACAGGGCTGCTCCTGCCAGGAGTTCCCAACCTCTGGTGGGCCTTATTAAGCATCCTTCTCACTCATGGCTAACAGTGTTTTATCCTTTTTGGTATAAGGACCAAGTAAGAAAACACGAAAAAGTGATTTGTGTTTTCAAGTTAAAAAATGAAGAATTTTACTCGATCCTGGAAGAGGGACCACATTACTGATAAGAGAAATGAGGCTTGCACAAGAGAAAAGGTTTGCTTAAGGTCTCAGAGCAAGTGAACAGCAAAGCTGAAGCAAGACTCTAATTCATTCCACTCAGGGCTTCCCACCCCATTTACTGAGCCGTCTTGTCTGCCTGGCATTGGGTTATACTGAAAACACAATGAACAGACCCGCCTCTTCCATAAACTAGACCTCCCCCTTTCAGGGTTGTCAGATTCACCTCGCACAAGGCAGGGCAAGCCCTGCAACCTGGAACAGCTCCAGGCACTTCCTAAACCATCCCAGGGTTCTGGCTATGCCGGCTCTTCCGCACTACACCATCCCGAGGTGGATCCAGGCACCCAAAGGCTCTTCTAACCTGCTGTGGGGCCAGCCTGGCCAGGAGGGCCACAGTACTGGCCCTCCCCACGCCTCCCGCCCCCATAGGGAGTATCTTTGCCAGCCTTTGGCTTCTACAGGCCAAAGCTAAGCACACCAGGATTTTAAAAAGGTTCCCCTCCAATCTAGCCCTGACTAGAGCTTGAGTCACCTTGGTTTGCATGAGCTGAAAAGGCCACGAATGAAAGTAGATCACAGTCCATTCAGCAGAAGCTAGGGGGCTACATGGGTCAAAGGTCAGGGGTTGCTCATAATTGTTCTAGAAGGAGGTTTCAGATAGTATACTTCCTCAACTTAAAGGTACAGCAACTGCATAAAGAATGGCTCTAGTTCGGGGAGAAGAACCCGTCTTACACACCAAGTTCAAAACAAGAAATAACCCCAAGTCATTCTTAGACGATGAAGTAGAGCCCCTGAGTGCTCAGCCCCTGAACTGCTGAAAAATTACCTCCAAGGCAATGTGACTGGGCTGTGGAGACCAGGGCAGAATAGGATCCCACGGGTGGCGAGTGAGACATGCTTAAGTCCAGCCTTTCATGGGAACCCAGGGCACCTGGGAGACGAGAGAAGGACAGGCAGAGAAGACTCAGCAAACGCTTGCAGAAGCAATGGATACATGGTTCCTTCACACATGCCCTCCATCAGGGAGCTTTTCTGACAGTCCAGCCTCAGTCTGAGCTTCCAGAGCCCCTTCTGCACACTTCTATCACATTCTATAATCATTGCCTGTTTACTGGTCGGTCACATTCATTTTTGTCTCAGCAGATTCCAGCATGGTGCCTAATACCCAGTGAGCATCAAAAAGTGTTCAGTGAATGAAAGAATGACCTGTGACACAGTGACTACAATTTGGAGGTACAACTAGGGCAGAGGTAAGCAGTAGTCATCTCAGAGTGGAGAAAAAACAAAAACAGAGGGACTGAAAGGACCTTCCTTAACCAGTCTGAAGACAGAGTGCTACCCACCCCTCAGCAGCCCCTGAAGGCTCATCAGCCACAGGACAGCTGTCCCATTCTATTTCTGGGGTAAGGAGACACATCGTATAGCTAAAACATATGTTTCCCATAATTATCAAAACCAAGTGTTACAACTACGAGAAGGGGGGAAATGGCAGATCTACCTAAGTGAGGGAAGAGTTTCTATTCATGTACCAACTCCATCTCCAACTCAACCTCTCTCTTAGAAACGTACAGACTCAGAGTCACGATCCCAAGTTCAAAGTGGACCAAGTCCTGGGTCCCAATGGGACACCCTTTCTAATTCACAAGGCATGTGCTCTCAGTGCAAAACTTGTCAACTTACTTTTTCCACGTCTAGATCAGCATCCTGCTTCTTCAAAAAACTGTAGAAGAAAAAAAAAATAGACATCAAAAGAGAACCGAACACTCTTTGCCTGGAAACCTCCCACAAAGTACCACCATAGAATTTCCATGTGCTGCAGACAATCAGCTTGCTCACAACTTTTTTCTCGTTAACATCATTGTTGCTAAGTCACAGTTGCCACAAACACCGGCTTGCAACTGCAAAGACCTGGCCCTGCACCATCAAAGGAGGCCAACACGAGATTTTGAGTTTCTGAAGTCAGGAAAGATAAAGATGGAGGTCTTACACACACACACACACACACACACACACACACACACACCCTCTTCTGAGTGCCTACAAATCATCCACAGTTGGGACATATTAAAAAAAAAAAAATGAGTCTTCCAAGGTCTTGTTCAACTCACCTCTTGACTTAGATCTTCCCTTAGCCCCCAACCCATATGTGCCCCACTCCCTGTCTGACTGTGGGTGGGCCTCACTGTTAAAACAGCCTTCTCAGGATGGCCCCTCTTTCCCATCAGCTGGTGTCCCCTCTCCGGGAGGTGTGCCAACCCACCAGCCTGCAACAACTCGCCCACAGAACTCGAGTCCCAGGATTACCTTAGAACCTTGTTCCAAGCCCCTGACAGAGCTGAGTGAGGATTCTGTGGCACCTGTGCCCATTTCACGTTACTCTTTAAAGTGCCAGGAGCAGACGGCAGCTTTCCAGTTTGCTCATGCGCTCTGCCTACAACCTGCCAATATTATGGTACCTCATTTGTTATATGCAATTTTAGCTATTTGAACAAAGCTTCAGTTTTAATAGTTTAAAGAGAATAAAAACGGCTGACTAGAATTATGTTGATAGTGTTAGGGAAGAAAGTAAAAGATTTGAGGAATGTGAATAAAAAAGCAGAAACGATTTTTCCTATCGTAGTAGAGACTCACACTTTTTTTTCATTATGATTCTTCGCGTCCTGGTCCGTGGTTTAACATACTGCCATCACAAATCTCTATCCCCATCCAAACCATCCCTACGCACACACAAAAGAATTTTTGCACTGTTTGAAAGGGTGCATAATTAACAGTAACATCTTTGTTTTCTTTAATCAAAGATGACTCAGAATGAAGGAAAGAAAAAAATGACCGTGGGGAAGAGAATTAGAAACTCATATATTGTCTTCTGCAGATGGGTATTCAAATCATGAACTGACTGCACACATGCAGGAGAAGCAGCATGAGGCTGGAGGGAGAGAATGTGCTAGTGAGCAGCCTAATACGGCTGGTACCTTAGCCACCCACCTCACCCCAGCTCTTTCTTGCTTTGGACACACTGTCCTGTCCTAACTGAGATGCTACCAGGCAATATATGCCTTTGCTTCTGGCGAACCCACTGGGGATGCAGACCCTGCCGAGCTAGAAAAAAATGGAATCCCCATCGTCCAAAATTTTTAACTAGCCTCCCTGTAACCAGCAAAGAGTAATTCAGTACCATGAAAACTTTTCATCAGGGGTATCCATGTGGCACAGTCAGTTAAACGACCGACTTGGTTTTGGCTCAGGTTGTGAACTCAGGGTCCTGAGTTCGAACCCCACACTGGGCTCCATGCTCAGCTCAGAGTCTGCTTAGGTTCCTCTCTCTCCCTCTCCCTCTGCTCCTCCCCGCCTCTAAAACAAATAAATAAATCTTAAAAAAACAAAAATAAATAAACAAAAACCCAACTTTTCACCAAAGGGAACATATATAAAGTGGAAGTCTGACTTCACTCGAACATTTTTTTAAAGAGGCTTAGGAAGGCGGTCATTCGGATTTACAGAATGGAATTTTCTACTTGCAAGGCATTCCTTCACCTGCCACAGAAAGCACACTTGGAAAATGACTACCCTTTCCCAAAGCAGTAAGCAAACTCAGCCTCTCTCATGTAGACAGCACAGGTTCAAGTGCACAGGATGCCCAGTTCAACAACAGGGTCTTGAAGAATGAGCTTCAGCTCTGTAGCACTTCGGCAACTCGTAGCAAAAGGAAAACTGAAAACCTGTCTGGAGCGGCTGGCTGACTAGTGCAAAAGGAATATTATCCTTCCGTGCATATATGCAGCTTCATCCAATCTCTCTTTCAGGCTTTCAAAACAGATGGAGTTAATTAACAAAGACAATACATATATGTATCATCCCGCAGCACAAAGCAGAAGGATGTCACAGCTTTCACTTCAAAGACTCCTAGCAAGCACAGCCCGAGATATTTTTTAGGCATCAGCTCCATTGTTTCAAAGAAGATCTGGTTTGGCGAAATAAAAGTGCCACAAAGTAAAATTCACAGGACAACCCTATCTAGTACGGAGAGTGGCCTCTGTTTTTAAAACCAGGCATCTCTGTCTTAACTAAAGGGTGTGTTTCTAAGAGTTGAGAACAAATTTTGTCATGAAATGTTTAAGGGGAATAGAAGTACCTTTTATTTGGGACGCCTGGGTGGCACAGTTGGTTGAACGTCCAACTCTTGGCTTTGGCTCGGGTTGTGACCACAAGGTCATGAGACTTCTTTCAGCCCTCTTCCCCTGCTCCTTCCCCATGGACCTCCCCTCATGTTCAGGTGCACCCACATACTCCCTTTCTCTCAAATAAATCTTAAAAAAAAAAAAAAAGGTATCTTTTATTTGTCTTAACTTTAAAAAATCATTCTTTAAAAATTGACCAATTATCCCATTTTATTTTTATTCTAAATCTAAATTTTTGGAATATCCAAGTTTCAAGTTTGCAAGGCTTAAGGCAAGATAGACCTCTCCTTCCCTGTGCGTGTGTTTTTGTACAGACACAGATGTGTATATGTGGTTACACAGACCCTTTCAACAGTTGACTCTATATTCAACTGTGCGCTTGTGGGCATTAGGGCATTTTCCATGCTTTTATTCTTCCTGCTGAAGTAGTGCTAATGTTTTGTTTGAGAAACATGACTGAAGTGACCCAGATTCCCCAGTGGAAAAGGCTGATCCATGAATGTTGCAAATGTGTGACTGCCTGCAGGAATGGAAGCCAGAGAACAAGGCCTTGGCCAAAAACGAGCTACTCCCAACTATTTAGATCCGATCAAATCCTCTATCTTTAGGAGAATACACAGAGACCTTTGTTCTTAGAGAGAACTCTAAAAATAAAACCGAGAAGCCTTCAACTGTGGGTTTTCTCTTGATGCAGCCATCCCCATAGCCCCACCACTCTCCTATTTCCAACCATCTGGGGCACGTCTCCCGCGGCACCCACCACAGGAACCTTACCCCAGGGCAGAGGAATAAACAGACACAGTCAGTGGGGCATCAGCCACATGTTCAGAGAATGGCAAGAGGCTTGTGGGACTACAGGGCAGAGAGGGAGTTAAGAGGATGGTGGTAGGCTGGTGGGAGAAAGGTGGGAAACTGAGGCAGAGGCCAGCTAACAAGTCAGCCAGTGGAAGGCACACTCCTGGGGTTACCAGCGTCTTTTCTACTTGCCTCTATCCCAGGAAGGGGCTGAAAAATAGATACAGCCTCCAGCATATTCCTGGCACTAGACAAAGCATCGTCACTCCAATCTCATCAACCCTGCTGGGTTCAGGACAGGGTTCCCCTAATTAGCTGTCGCTGTCGGGGCCCAGGACAAAATCACCTTTTCTCTCCGGTTTTCCTTTGGTCCCGCTTCTGTGCAGAACTAGATTTCTTCTCCTCAGTGTTCTCACAGCACTTTATACTCAGTACCTGCTTCACGGTCTCCCCTGCTCAGACGCCAGCTCGTCTGTGGCCAGGACCATGCTGAGCACAACAAGGGTTGTAGCAGCTCTGCTGACGGAGGGGTGAAGGGTGACGAGGGGCGGTGACAGAGTGACTAATGAAGAACTGCCCGGACGGGGATGAAGGAAACAAAGCTGCCCTGACTCAAGCTGCAAGTACAGGGGATGGCGGGGGTGGGGGGGTGTGAGGGGGGAGGAGATGAATCCAGGGTGTGTCCACATACCACACATAGCTTATAGAGAACCAGAAGATGACCTTTCCTTCCATTTAGTCCTGGGTCTTTAGCTATAAATAAGTGACAGAGATCCAATCTGGAGATTCCACTGTTATTTTTAATATTAGCCAGTGTTTCCTTTCTACTTAAAAAAATGTGACTGAGAAACTGAGGTTCAATACATGAGAGTCATAGTCACAACTCCCAAGCGAAGAAGGAGATGTAAGGGATATCACAAATCCAAGATTTGAATTCTGGTTCTGGTTTTTGTTTAATTATTTTAAGAAAAGGAAGATTGAGAGAGAAATGAAATACACTTTTCTCTTGCCACAGAATCTTCTCCATTTCCAATTCAACCCTTTTTACTTCTTGAAAAAGATTTAAAATATTCATCAACCTGCCAAAAAACATCTGCATGTTACTAGACACGTCTATTCACATCTGAATGGCTGCTTTCTGCTCCAACGATCATAGCTCTATTCAATCACAACTAAAGTGAGAACCTCAGAACTGTACGTGGTGTGGTGTCAATGGCAACGAGGATGAAACGGCCATCGGACAGCAACTTCCATATCAAGTATGTCAACAGGGGCACTGTTCCTTCGGTTATTAACTTAGGATCCAAGGCACAAAAAAGACCAGGCAGGGCCAGACTCTGCCACAACTCCAAAGAAAGCTGAGACATATACAGAGCGTACACAGAAGCTCCTCAATGTTCCCTGGTGAAGGGGCGGCCCCTGGCTCCCTGCCTGAAGCCTGGAACAGGCCCACTCTCTCAGTGGGCTTCCTGAGCCTTCCACAGCTGCACACAGACACGCGGCGCAGTGTTTGGGACCAGCCATGCTCAAGGTCACCACAGTCTCCTGTGTGCCCAACAACTGGGGCAGGCCCCGGAGACAGGAGCCAGCTCAGACAAGGCCCTTTGTTGTGGGGTATTCCTCATTGCCTGGTTTCCCCAGGAAAAATGTATTTTCCTTTAGCCATTCACTCTGGCCCCAGACTGGGTCATTCTCCTATGTCCTCCTCCACATACGAACCTTCTAACAAAGTTCAAGATGGCAGCAA